GCTGGCCGGTTGACTCTTTCTTATGTTTGTTTGTTTCTCTCTGTCTCTCGCTTTCTTTCATTATTTTCTCTCACACTCCCTCTCTCTCTGTATAGGCACAGATTCCCCAAACAGTGCTTGCGCTTAAGAGTTTCCATTTCTGTTCTAAGGAACCGGGCCGTGTCTTCGGTCTGGCGGCTATGTGTCCGCCGTCGCCGCCCCGTTGCCGCCTCGTCGCAGCCCGTCGTCTGGGCCGCGTCTTCAGTTTGGTGGCTATGTGGCCGCCGTCGCCGCCCGTCGCCGCCGTAGGATTGCACTACACAGACTGCAGAACACATCACACCAGAGGAAAGATCTCATCAGCGGGCAAGTTGGAATTTAATGGTGTTGCTATTGAAATCGATGGTGAGATCGATAGTGAGATCCATAGTGGGATCGATAGCGAGGACGATCGTATGGTCGGATGTGGGACCGATAGTGATGGCGATTCAGTGTAATCGATAGTGATCGATCGTGAGATCGCTCGTGCGATGTATGGTGAAACGTGGGACCGATTGTGAGATCGATTGTGAGATCGATCGTTTGATAGAGAGAGGTGGGTAATGCGATCGATGGTGATATCGGTCGATAAGGAAATCGACCAGGAACCCGGGAACCCAGAAATCGGGGAACCCCGCCGCCCACCGAAATCGGCCCGGAACCAGCAGCCGGGAACCCGGGAACCCAGAACCGGGAACCCGGGAACCCCGTGGCCTGCCGAAATCGGCCGCCAAATTTCGCCAAATTTTTCAAGATCCGCTAGGAACTCTTCAGCGCAAACATTGGTTAGGAAATATTCGCGCCTGAGACACGTTCTTTGATCGCTCACACCATACTTTGCACGACATAGAGTACACAGCATAGGTTCCACCACAGATATTGCACAATATCTGTATGTACATATGTATATGTAGATGTCTATGTCTATATATGTATATTTGCACATATATATAGATGTATCTATATAAGTGTGTATATATATACATTCTTACACATCCATGCGAATATATGTATCTCGGAGTAGGCCGGGGGAGGGCCCAGAACTGCGGCCTCAGGTTCGCATGGGCGGCCGGGGGGCCAGGGGGTTTCAAGAGGTTCAGAAGGTGCCCCGGACCCCCCCAGAGGCTCCCAACTGGCCCAAGAGGCGCCCAAAGCGGAAGAGCGCACTGGGATGGCTTCCGGACGGGCCACGAGCGTTCGAAGACAGCCCTAGACTGCTCCTAGACGGCCACAAAGGCATTCAAGACGGTCCAAGAGGCCACCGAGAAGGCCCTCCAAGGGCAAAAATCAAGCATTGCCGATGGGAGAACGTATATTTCTTGGTCAGTCCTACCAGCGGCCGCGACGGCCCCAGAGGCTCCCAAGATGAGCCCCAGACGGCCCAAGAGGCCCCCGAGAGGGCCCCCAGACGGCCTGATGAGAGCTCCACGCAGCACAAGAGAGCCCCAACACGGCCCAAGAGAGTACCCAGGAACCCAGAGGTGGCCACTGGAGGATCCCTACATGGTCGGAGAGGGCCCCAGGGCGGGCGAAGAGGGACCTGGAACGGCCGAACTGAGCTCCCAGAGGGTCCCCAAAAGGCCTACCAGGACTCATTGAAAACGGTCCAGGAGACCGCTGAGAAGGCTCCCGGGTGCAAAAAACTAGCTTTTCCAGAGAAAACGTACATGTCTATCATGTTCGCTTTTTATGTTCCATCGGCGGCCACGTCGGCCCCAAAGGCTCTTTAGCATTTTCTTGGCGTCTGACGCTTTGGGCGCTTCATGGATGCGCTTGTGCAGCGCGAGCGAGGTGTCATGGGGTGGGTGCGTGGAGCAAGTTGCGCCGAGGCGCCCCATCGATCTGGGAGGTGCCCTCGGGGCGCCCGCGGCGAGCCCCAATGGTCGCCCGGCCGCCCAGCCATTCCCGCCCTACCAATGTGCGTCCTGGTCCAGTCTGGCCCGCTTACCCTTCGGACAATGGGCGGCGAGGCAAACGGTGCAGATGCCATCGGCGCATTCCGGTCCGATTGGACATTCGGCCCGTTTACTAGGACAAAACGTGGCTCAGTGGGAAGGGGGGAGTGGTCGGACGTCAGATGTGGCGCGAACGCGCTTAGCTTGTCCCTCGCCATCTCTCCACCCGCCTCCCTCCGCGGGTTCGGCGTGGGCGACGGCGCGGCGCAATTCTTTCCGCGCCTTTCACTTCCTCTCCTGGTGGGGGCCGCGGGTGCGGACGTCATGCTACGTCTTAATTGCGGCCTCGGTTTCCTGCGTCGCCAGAGGAGGAGGAGGAGGAGGAGGAGGAGGAGGAGGAGGAGGAGGAGGAGAATGAGGCGGACGAGGAGGAGGAGGAGAGGAGGAGGAGGAGGAGGAGGAGGAGGAGGAGGAGGAGGGGGGGAGGTGCAAGAGGGGAGGGAGGAGGAGGAGGAGGAGGAGAGGAGGAGGAAGAGGAGGAGGAGGGGGAGGAGGAGAGGCAGGAGGAGGAGAGGAGGAGGAGAGGAGGAGGAGGAGGAGGAGGAGGAGGAAGAGGAGAGGAGGAGGAGAGGAGGAGAGGAGAGGAGGAGGAGGAAGAGGGGGAGGAGGAGGAGCAGGAGCAAGAGGAGGAGGAGGAGGAGGAGGAGGAGGAGGAGGAGCAGGAGGAGGATGAGGAGGAGGAGGAAAAGGAGCAGGAGGAGGAGGAGGAGGAAGAGAGGTTCACTGCCCATAGAGGGAAAGAGGTCCAGGGGTGAGAGAGGAAAAACGGGGTGGGTCCGCCTATCCAAGGAGGCTTTTGTCAGGCCCCCCCAGAGGTTCCATCCCTCTGGCAGGGCCCCCGACAAGGCGACCCCACCCCCACACAGCGCTAGCCGAACTCTCCAGCTTCGGCTTCGCACTCTTCCCGGGATTTGCGAGCCTGGGCCTCAGCGCGGGCCTGGACAGCCCACAACCCGAGCTCCTCAGCTTCGGCCCGAGTCTCGAACCCGAACGCCTTCAAACAGGCTTCCATGCCGAGCCGAGGAGCGGCCCTTTGCTGCGAGAACGCAGGGAGCCTGCTGGGGGGCCGACCGGCCCCTTCCGCGTCAGCTCCAAAATGATTTCGCCAGCGTTCCCGAGTGGCTGTGGAAGGGACCTGGGGCTCGTCCAGAGCCAGTCCCTCCTCCGTGGGGTGCATGCGCCCACGCAGCCGCTTCCGGACGGTGTACGCCGAGCCGCCAGTGACCCGCCGAGGGCCAAGGCAGGGACTGCAAAGGCCCCGTTGTTTACGATGCACAGCGAACTTGTAGCACGTCGTGCAAAAAAGGATCGGCTCCTGCCCAGCGACACCTGCTTCTAGAACCGAGTGTTGGTTGACCAGCCATGGGCGCCTAGGCCCGAGACCGTAACCTTCATCATCCGCGTCTTCCACGCCACCGTTCTCCCTCTCAGCCTCCACCACCACCACCCTGGCAGCAGCAGCAGCAGCAGCAGCAGCAGCAGCAGCAGCAGGGAGCGGGTCAGCAGGAGGAGAGGGAAGAGGGCCAGGGGCATGGCGTGGGGCCTCGGGAGCGGCAGGCAGGTCGACCAATAATCCTGGAGGAAAATCAGCCGCGCCAAAATCAATTAAACGAATCGCATCGAGCCCTTGATGGTCTACGATGTTCTCTTTGACACACCGAGTGGCAAGCCTGGCCGTGGCCTTGCACGCTTGCGACGCTAGGTCCAAGCAGCCCTCGAGAAACAACACGTCGCTCTCAGACGAAGCCCCGAAACTAGCGCCGAACTTTGCGTATTCATCTGCCGACCTATTTCCTTCCAGCTCGAACTGCGAGAGAATTCCCTCCCGCACCTGTGCCATCGAGCAGTGGCTCCTCACGTGCTGAAACTCCAAGGCAGAGAAATCTTCTCTTCCGTGCACTCTCCGCCACAAGTGGGCGCGAGGGTTCGCAACCGACGTCGCTGTGCGCGGGCAGGTGCAGCACGACAGCGTTGCCCTACAATCTGCTAAGACACAGAATTTGCCCAACACGTGCTGGGCGACCATATACATTGCATAATCTTCCCCGTCTCGTGCAGAAAATGTGGTCGAAAACTCTGGTGGCACTACACCATAGATGGCTCCCAAGAACACCCGGTCCGCAGAGAAAAAGACACAAGACCATCCCGTGGTGCGGAGAGTCGGGAATCTGGCATTGAGCCCAGACCCATCTGTGAAGACGAACCCTCCATCCAGACGGATCGGCAGCTCGACGCCTGTCCCGCGCAGGGCCCAGAGGGGGTCAAAAACGGGCCTTGAAACGCACAGCCCTGGCTCAGGGAAGATGCCTCTAGCGAATCGTTCGCTCCAGGCTGGAGGGGCGCATGCAACCACGGCCGCAGCCTTGGCAAGCTCTGGTGAGATATTGTCCCGCCTCCAGGCTCCATGGCCAGGGCAGCGGTAACACCTATGATGCAGGGAGCCACGCTCCTCCTGGCAGAGCAAACAAATGTGGGAAACCGTCGCGTCTTGGTCGTGCAACCTCCCCTGCGACCAGTGAGTGCCTGCCACCAGGCCCCGGAGAGAAGACTGCTGATGCTTCTCCCAACCGGGCTCCCAATCACAGAACATCGCCTCGAGAATCGGCCGCCAGAAGATCGGGGACGACCAGCACCCCCTGTCCTGCAGAGCGAGCGCCCTAACGTCCGAAGCTCGCCTGGCCGAGTGCGCAATCTGGTCCGACACGCAAGCAGGGGAATAAAATTGCAAATCCCACTCCCGCCCCAGGTCGTCGACCGCACGCGTCGGACTCCGAAAACTCCATCCCGCACGCTGCGCCGTGAGCACGAGCGCAGCCACGGGGTCCCTACAGGACACCCATGGGCGTTCCTTCGCCGATTGCTCAATGGCGTTTTCGAAAAGAACCTGGAGGACGGCTGTTGGGAGGAGGCCATCCCAAAGCACCTCTCCGTACTGCCTTACAACATCCATCGACGTGATCACCAACGGGTCTCGCTTCCAGCCGCGCTTTGCACAGCTTAGGAAGAGGCCCGTCGACGCTCCGCGAG